CAGTGATGATTTTCCTTGAGATTGTACATCTTCAATAGGCACTTTGTACAGCTCCCCACACAACAAAATAATTAGGCTTCTCAAGAGACGTGGGATATCCAAATAGTTCAAAGAAAAAAGTATAACAAGGACGCATAATGGGAGTTATTAATAGGCCAAAATGTTAAAGAAAGAATTTTCATCCAGCACCAGCATCTTGTTGATTCTATACTCTATAGCATATATCGATTCAAATTCGAGGTTTTGGTAGAGGTACAATAGACATCATCTATCAAAGATATGCTTTTACTCTGCACAGCTCCAGATGAAAATAGCAATAGTTCAAATTTAGCCACTGCTTGGGTTTCATTTTTTCAAAAATGTATTTTTTCAAAATTCATTTTTAACTGCACATTCTTCCATAAAATGATATAAAACTTTACTTTATTTTTTTAATCAGATGTTTTCTCCAAAAAAATCATTATCCCAACACACGATATCCCAAAATTTCATTTTAGTGGAGCCCAAACAAGACTTATAAAAGTCACTGTTGGCATAATGTATTACACCCCTATTTAGTGGAAATTAAAAGTCATATTTTAATTTAAGTTAAAGTCAACAATTAATTTATATCACACATTTCATAAGACCCACAACTTTTCAACTTTACATTTCATCAACTTTTATCAAAATTACATTTTAATCCCCACAAAACATGGGCTACATATAAACCCGAAACTAAGAGAATTACCTTCTAGAGTCTCCTAAATCAGGTGATGATCGTTCAGTTTTGGCCTTTAGCTCATCAAATTTCAACATACCTTCAAAACCCCTCTTATCTTTCGTGCCATACATGGTTTCTCCAAGACGTGAATGCAAATTCTCTTTTAGCTTCCCCGGGTAGGTGATGCGTGTGAGCTACTACTGTACTACACCTTGTGATTTACCTCTCAGAGTCGAAAAATAAGCATAGAAGTACCAAAATATTTCAGGATAACCAAGACTGCAAATAAATTACGGAAAGCTCAAGGATTATACTCGAGCAACAGATTCCAGTAGAATCTGTATTAGATTTCTGGATGTTACATTCCTCGCAAACAAACCATAAAAAAATTACTACTGGTATAATCGAAAGAGCTCAAATCTTAGTCCACGACTTTTGTGGTAATATAAACACTTGTGAAACAAGTAATGGTAACACAATTAATCACAATTTTACAAAGCTTAGTTCAATTAATGCTGAGTATGGACAAACTTCTGTTGCGGGCTTGTGTCCATCTTAAGATGCCAAACTTTTTTCACCACCTCAAACCCTCCCATAAATGAGCCAAAAGCAAATGATATTGCAGTATTGAAAAAATTCGATGCACAACCGATGAACAACTATTCCATCTCGATTTCAGAAACCACGGCTGGGCAAGAACCTATACTTAGAAACATATATACTATTGTATAGTATCAAAACAAAATTTCCAATCTTATTATGTGAATTTGGTTCTTGAGGCAATGTTGAACAATATAATTGATCTCTTCAATTCTATAAGTAATTACTGAAGTATAAGATCATATATCGCAAGTGTACTATATCGTAACAAGTAATATAATGGACCTATATATGGGTTTAGATGATCATTCATGCAATTTTAAGTCTTAATTGACGAAAATAAATAGCAGTTTTAATTAATTATCTAAAATACCCAATTATACTAAATTATATATCCAAATGAACACAATTAATCAGATTAAGGTTTAGAGTATGAATATGGTTGTTAGGACTTATAATTTCATATAATGATCACCTTTAATTCTCTTATCAAGATTCACAACTATTGTAACGTTCGATCGAATTCTTTATAAGTACTGAATTTACCTCTCTCAAGTTCAAATATTTAACTAAGCCAATTCATCATTTCTCGATGTGAATTCGAATAAACTTTAATTAATTGCCTTAAATCTCTAAGAATTCATGTAACGACTATACTAACCATAAAAGGTCTCTCTACTCTGTTATCCAAATTATCGAATTTTATTATGCTATCGAAATCTACAATTTATCTCTCGATTTGTTATAGATTCACATGTTATTGGATAATGGCCAAGTAATTAAAAGCATTAAAAATCAATACATAAATTTTAAACAACTAAAATCTTAAAAATAAATTTAAAAGGTCTCACATATTACACTATTTCCCCTAACTATAGATTTAGCTACTCATACTAATTAAAGAAAAACAATAAAAAAAAGTATAGAATTCCTGACTGGGTTTTGATATCTTGACAAAAGGAAATATTTGATTTAGCACAAAAAATCTTCTTTGATCTCAAAAGTTTTGAAATCTAAGTTTTTTGCCTTTGATCTTGATGTTCTATTTGTTTTTTGTTTTTGGTTTGGTTTTGTTTTTTGTTTTTTTGTTTTTTTGTTTTTTTTTTTTGTTTTTTTGTTTTTTTGTTTTTTGTTTTTTTTTTTTTTTTTTTTTTTTTTTTTTTTTTTTTTTTTTTTTTTTTTTTTTTTTTTTTTTTGTTTTGTTTTTTTCCCCCTCTTTAAATTGCACGTCCCTTAAAAACGAATAATGAAAAGTATATATAGAATTCTACGATAATCCTTATAAAAGAGTCCTTAAGCATCTTCCATATAGAATTTGTATAATTACACTAAATTTAAAATTTCTTATAGTTTTTAATGAAATTTGGTCTTCCATACTAATTTCTTGTACATCTCAGGTCCTCTTTATTTGAATGGCAGGTTTTCAACTTCAAAACTTGATTATTTCGATCCCTAGTTCTTCAATTTTGAACAGCTTCAATCCAATTACATCAAAACTTGTTCAATTCGAATTTTGCTTACAATTAACATAACTTAATCTAAACTAAGTATATCTCGCTCAATATAATGATAAATAAATAAAAATAGAAGCTCGAATAAGCGCATTAAGTGTACTTATCAAATACGTACCCCCAAATTTAAATGTTTATTCATCACGAGTAAGACTATCTACTAAAAAGAAATGCAAACAAAAATATAAAAGCATTAGATAACTTTGCTAAACTTGCATCACGTATTTGAAATCGTTTGACAATTCATAAAAATTCATATGCAATGCAAATAGAACTAATTCTCACTTATTCAATGATCGATCGATGTGTGTGCGCATAGTCAATCTAATCATCATAAGATTTTAGGTTGGTTATTTTCTAGCCCTCAATAAACAAATATTTACTTTTTTTTTTTTTCATGAGATGCACACTCCCAAACTTAATTTCAATTACATATCTAGAATGTTTATTCTAAGGTTGACTATCACAACGCTCATTTCTTTCTCGCTCAAGTTTGGTTAAATTTCACTAATGAAAATCATTATTTCAATATGTGATGATTCTCCTTGAATTTTAATATCTCATCCTCCGAGTTTCAACTAGGATAATAACTCTCAACAGAAATCTAAATCCGATATTAACTATCCAAGGTTTAGTTGGACAAATACAATACTTTTAGTGATCTTGTCACTGTCTTTACACACTTTGGTGTATTTTTATTTTCTTTTATTGTGTCATTTCTTCTATTTTTGGGATCTTAACTTTGGTTTTCGAAGGTAATTTTCACTATAAATTGCATATAAGTAGAATATTAGATCAAAGCCGAATGATATGATACATAAAACAACAGAAGAACCCTAGATTTTTTTATGTAAAAGCTATACAAAAAGAACTCCAATCTGGTGCATATAAGTACAAGGTCATGTTATTCTTCGACCAGAGCTCGATAGTTGCTGATAGTGATTGTGAAAGTAAAAACAAAGGAAAATCTCCTGTCAACCTTGGTGACTCCTCTAGTCTAACCTTCTGAGCATTGAACTTTCCCCAACAACAAAAATAAAGAGATCACTCTTTGGGCTCCAGAAGCGCCAATAACAAGCAAGATGAAAAGCCAAAAAGGCTACAACTACACCACTGGCGGGATTCATCGGCGCTGCACACTTTAAATTTTACCATTATACAATGCTTGTTGAATCTAAAGGTTTCTTCTTCTTCTGCTCCTCCTCCTCCTTCACCATTATACAATGCTTTATTAAAAAAAAAAAAAAAAAAAAAAAAAGAAAAATGGGAAAAAAAAAAAAATGGGCCT